CCAACAAGTTCACTGGTGGTGATATTGGGGAGTCTCTCTCTTCTTGCTCCAGCCTCACTTTCCTCAATCTCACCAACAATAAGTTTTCCGGCGAGGTTGCAAAGCTTCCCAGGGGGAGCTTACAGTACTTGTACCTTAGGGGGAATGGCTTCCAGGGATCGTTCCCGGAGCGTATTGGCGACTTGTGCAGCACTCTTATGGAGCTGGACTTGTCATTCAATAATATATCTGGTAATATCCCACAGACCCTCGGCGAGTGCTCGGGTTTGGAGCTTCTTGATCTGTCAAATAATTGTTTCTCAGGCGAGTTGCCGCTTGAGACACTAGTGAAGTTGAGTAGCTTGAAGACTCTGGTGCTTTCATTCAACAAATTTGTGGGTGGCTTGTCGGGGTCATTTTCTAGCCTGGTAAATCTGGAGACTTTAGATTTGAGTTCTAATAATATATCTGGTTTGATCCCCTCTGGGATTTGTAAGGATCCCAAGAATAGTAGCTTGAAGGTGCTGTACCTTCAGAATAATCTGTTCAATGGCCCAATCCCTGAGAGTCTGAGTAACTGTTCACAATTGCAGTCTCTTGATCTCAGCTTTAATTACCTAAGTGGAAAGATCCCTTCCAGCCTCGGGTCCTTGTCGAAGCTCAAGGATTTGATCATCTGGTTGAATCAGCTGGAGGGCGAAATCCCAGATGAGCTCATGTATTTGCAGTCCTTGGAGAACTTGATTCTTGATTTCAACAATCTGTCGGGATCCATCCCGGAGAGTCTCAGCAAATGTGGTAAACTGAATTGGATTTCTTTGTCCAACAACTTATTGACAGGAACCATTCCAGGTTCCTTGGGGAACCTGTCGAACCTCGCCATTCTGAAACTTGGGAACAACTCCATCTCCGGAACCATACCTCCTGAGTTGGGGAACTGCAAGAGCCTGTTGTGGTTGGATCTCAACACCAACTCCCTCAATGGCTCTATCCCACCTGCTCTGTTCAAACAATCTGGAAACATCGCGCTGGCTTTGCTCACTGGGAAGCAGTATGTTTATATCAAGAACGATGGGAGTAAGGAGTGCCACGGTGCAGGGAATCTGCTTGAATTTGGTGGGATTAGGCAGGACCGGCTGGACAGGATTTCGACCAGGCACCCGTGTAACTTCACTAGAGTCTACAAAGGGATCACCCAACCCACATTCAACCACAACGGTTCCATGATCTTCCTCGACCTCTCTCACAACAAGTTGGAGGGGAGTATCCCCAAGGAGTTAGGTTCCGTGTACTATCTCTCCGTTTTGAATTTGGGCTATAACGACCTCTCGGGTCAGATTCCCCAAGATCTTGGGGGGTTGAAGAATGTTGCGATTCTTGATCTGTCACACAACAAGCTCAACGGGTCGATTCCCCAAACTTTGACCAGCCTCGCATTGCTAGGGGATATTGATCTGTCCAGCAACCAACTCTCTGGAGTGATACCCGAATCGGCCCCATTTGACACCTTCCCGGATTACAGGTTTTTCAATAACTCTGGGCTCTGTGGCTACCCCCTTCCCAACAAGTGTGGTTCGGAGTCGAGTTCTCGATCCAACCAGCATAATAAAGAGAACCGCAGACACGCGTCGGTTGCTGGAAGTGTGGCTATGGGTTTGCTGTTTTCTCTCTTCTGCATCATCGGCTTGGTCATAGTCGCAGCAGAAGCAAAGAAGAGGAGGAAGGAATCCTCTGAGGGCTCTTCCCTGGAGATGGGGAGCCATTATTCGGTTTCAGGAGCTGCAAATAACAACACTGACTGGAAGCTGACCAGTATCCGCGAGGCTCTAAGTATCAACCTTGCCACCTTTGAGAAGCCTCTCAGGAAACTGACCTTCGCGGATCTTCTAGAAGCCACCAACAATTTCCACAACGACAGCCTGGTCGGGTCGGGCGGGTTCGGTGATGTCTACAAAGCCCAGCTGAAAGACGGCAGCGTCGTTGCTATAAAGAAGCTGAAGTACGTGAGCGGGCAGGGTGACCGAGAATTCACCGCCGAAATGGAGACCATTGGGAAGATCAAGCACCGGAATCTTGTCCCCCTCTTGGGGTACTGCAAGGTCGGCGAAGAGAGGCTTTTGGTGTATGAATATATGAAATATGGAAGCCTCGAAGACGTCCTTCGTGACCGTAAGAAGAGTGGAATCAAGCTGAATTGGGCCGCGAGGAGGAAAATCGCAATCGGAGCTGGGAGGGGATTGGCCTTCCTCCATCACAGCTGCAACCCTCACATCATTCACAGGGACATGAAGTCTAGCAACGTTTTGCTCGACGAGAACTTGGAAGCCAGGGTTTCGGATTTTGGGATGGCCAGACTGATGAATGCCGTGGACACACATTTGAGCGTGAGCACCTTAGCGGGCACCCCCGGGTACGTCCCGCCCGAATACTACCAGAGCTTCAGGTGCTCAACAAAAGGGGACGTGTACAGCTACGGTGTCGTCTTGCTTGAGCTCCTCACCGGGAAACAACCCACGGATTCACCGGATTTCGGGGACAACAATCTTGTCGGGTGGGTAAAGCAGCAAGCAAAGATTCGGATTCGGGAGGTGTTCGACCCGGAGCTGTTAAAAGAAGACCCGTGCATAGAGCTTGAGCTTCTAGAACACCTCAAGGTTTCGGTGGCTTGTTTGGATGACCGGCCCTTCAAGCGTCCCACGATGATTCAAGTCATGGCAATGTTCAAGGAGATTCAAGCGGGGATTGATTCGTCGTCCACAATTGGTTCGGAAGATGGCGGGGGCGTCTTTCAGGCGGTCCCCGGGGTGGTGAACATGAGCATAAAAGAGAGCATAAAGGAAGGCAACGAGCAATAGTATTGATGATCAGATGATCTATATAAAGGCTAGGCAAAGGCAAGGCAATGGATTCTTTTGATCGAAGCAAAACATCTTGTTGTATGTACTACTATTAGTGAGTGAGTTATGCTGGGAAAACTGACAAAAAATAAAATAATATTTGTTATCATATGATAGATTTGAGGTTGTTATTATACTGCTTGTGACTGTTGTACATACATAAAAGTAGGGATGGGATTTTTACTAGTTTGAGTTTATCAAGTACTCTTCTTCTTCTTCTTCTTCTGCCGCATGATGTGTAATTTTGTCCCTCCCTCCAATAATTAAAATGTTTATCTTTTCAATATCACGGTCTTTGTACATTAGAGATTCTCTTCGGGTCAAGCTAGTGCGGGGGATTATCGGGTGATTAACGGATAAGAGCCGTTGGTTTTACGAATGAGACATCGTAGATATCCCAATCGAGCCAATGTTATAATAACATTTGATCCTAATGTCAAAAAAGCAAACTCTATGTACTCATTGTAAATATTTCTTACTACAATAATTGTCACTACTTGTTTTATTGAATTTTTTAATTTACTTCTTTCATTAAATAACATTTGTTTGCTTTTGATTTTTTTGTAGTCAATTAGGATCAATCTTTGGCCTATAGTTTAATTAAATTTATATGATGTATCGTCTAGATAAAATAATTTTTGAAAAAATTTTGTAAAATAAATCTAGCAAATTTGTTTTTATATGTGAATATCTAATATCAATTTTAAGAAATTTATGGTCAAAATTTGTCAATTTTAACTATTAAAATTTAAAATTGACAAACACTTCACAATATAGGTAATACTTTTAAAATAAATAATATTTTTTACATTTAACATAGATATCAAACTAACTTTATATCTTATATCGTTAAATGAAAATTGAACTTTATTAAGGTTGAGGGAGTATAACAGCCTGTTTGGATAGTGAGAAATGGGAGAGAGTAAAAGAAATGAGAGAAAACACTATTTTCGAGATGTTTTTTTCCGTTTTGTTTTAATAGAAAATTGAGAAAGGAGAGAAAAAGGTGAGGCAGAAGGCTAAAAAAATTCGCACCTCCATGGGCGAGAAAATATTCGGGCTGGTGAGAATACTTATGAAATGACAAATTTATCCTTTCGCCCTATCCTTACCAATTATTCCTTTAATCCCCGTCCTATGGACAAAATTGTCTTTTTAATTTATCATATTTTCTTTCTTCACACTTTTCTAATTATTTTCTACCCATTCAAACAATCATTAATTTCTTTATATTATCTTCTCATTTTCTCTCCTCACCATTTTTTTATTCATCCTTTTTTTCTCCAACATTTCTTTTTTTCATCCAACAAAGGGTAACTTCAAGCTAAAATGAAAAAAAGTATGATACAACTTGCTAAGAGCTCCCTTCTTTTGAGTTTTGATATTAGAAGTACATGTCAAAATATGACATTGACTTTAAATGGGATACTTATGGCTTCCTAACTCAAAAAATTGATGTTTCCTATTCTCTGATAAACCTGTCCCCCTCCACCCTAGCCTGACCCAAATTGACCCATCACTTCTTTCAATTGCACCCCTAAAATTCTGTTGATTTTGAGGCCACATTTTTTAACTTCAAAGTCAATTAAATTCGAAGGATGAAACTTAAAGAGGTGGGGGTCGGGATAAGATAAAGAGGTTTATCGGATAATTTAGAGGTAGAAACCATCACTTTTCCGAATAAAGCACCATAAGCCTCCTCGAGCTAATGTCATATTAAGAGATTTGGCCTAATGTTAAAAGCAGTAAACTCTTTAAATCGTACTCCCTATATTGGCATCATCCCCCAATATGAAGGGTCCTACGGATTGGGGCTCATTTTTTTTGTGGTCATGCCAATTTTCTTGGTTTCTCATAGCTTTAAAATGTCCGGTTGATCTACCGATTTCTACGGAGTATAAAATACAGAAGAATAGGGGAGTATTCTATTTGAGGAAATAAACACTCAAGTTAACATCTCTTGATGAATGTGACAGTTTTCCTGGTTTGCAATGAAAAATCTGCTACGGACCTTTATTCGTAGCAAATCTGCAACGAATCTGCGACGGAAGTATAATTCCTGAAAAGAGAACATTATCTGCGACGTACTATATATTTTCGTCGCATATCAACGACGGAACATATTCTACTGTCGCAAACTCTAAGACGCCCAAGTACGTTAAATCTTGCCCATGATATTTACTTAGATCTGCGACGGATCCAATTTCTTAGACAGATTCCTTATACTATCGTAGATCTGCAACGGATCCAATTTTTTCGCAGATAATTACTTAATATCGAGATCTTCTTTTTTCACTCAATAGGCGAAATCAGTTCAATCCAGAGCACAGGCCAATCGACCGTCCTTCGTCCACCCGCCTTCGACTGCCACCTCTCTATCGGATACCTTGACCGCCAGCCACCGTCACACGCCGCGTCCACCCGCCTTCGACCTCCACCCCTGCCATTAACCCACGCCAAGCCAGCCCTCGCCCTCCTCGCCTTCGACCGTGCCATCCCTCGCTGTGTACACCGGTCTTCAACCGCGACTTCCCTCGCCACCCCTCGCCGCCATCGCCAGTACTCGACTGCCAGCCGCCAGTCTTCCCCCGCCAGACCTCCTCTTCCGTGAATTTCAAGGTATTTTTGTTTAATTTTATACAATTTATTATTATTATAATTTTCGGTCAAATTGAATTTGTTTGTGTGAAATTGAGTGCATTTTTGGGGAAATTTAGTTGAAATTGTGTGAATATGAATTGAAATTGACATAAAATTGGGTAAAAATTGCATTAGTTTTTTGTGAAATTGATAGCATTTAAGGTTTAATTTTAGTTGAAATTGGTGTAAGTTAATTTGACGTTCATTGAGAATTTAGGTAAAATTTAGTTGAATTTTGTGAAATTTAGTGCATTATAGGTTGATATATGTAGTTAAATGATTGTTGTTTGTGGTTTAATAAGATTGTCGTTTGTTAGCCTTTATTGTTGCTATATTTTGTTTATAATGAATGTGGTTGATATTCTTGGTTTAATGATTGTTGTTTGCTGCCTTTCATATACCAGGCGTTTCTAAAATGAGTCCATTCAAAAATCGTGAGTTGATGTATAAGAAATATGAGAGAGAAGGTGTTGTTAGTCAAGAATGGATGGACAACGTGGTTGAGTTTATAGAGTACTGTGAGTCAAGTCCCAATATAAATAGGTTGGATAACAAGAAAATGCGATGTCCTTGCAAGAAATGTAAGAACATCAAGTTTTGCTCATCAAAGAATATGTTGGAGCACATTTTGCGGTTTGGATTAACACACAATTATTTCGATTGGGTATGTCATGGGGAGAATCATGGTGACTACGTACCTCCCCAACAATGTAAAGTCCCTTGTCAAGCTGATGCCTCAGATGTATCACATGTCCCGGGTAGAGAACAGTTTGTACACATGGTTTATGATGATGTCGGCCCGACTAGGATCAATTATGTTCTTGAAGAAGAGCCGAATTCGATAAACAAGCAATTCTTCGAAATGTTGAAAGCTGTTGATACAAATCTTTGACCGGGGAGTTCAAAGACATCTCAATTGTCTGGAGTTGTGCGCTTGTTGAGTATTAAGTCCTAGCATAATCTATATGAGCGTTGTTACGACACCATATGTCAATACATCAAAGACATTCTTCCGGAGGACAACTCAATGGTGAATGGATTTTCTGAAACTAAAAAGATGATTGAAGGTTTGGGTCTTCTGGTCTAAAAGATTCTTTGTTGTGTTCTTAGATGCATGTTATATGGGAGAGGCGATGAAAGTCTTACCGAGCGCAAATGAAATTAAAGAGTCTACACCACAGATTAGTGAAGAATCCCTGTTGAAACGTGTGGAAGAGACGTTCGCAAATTGGTTTGAAAAACATGTAAAGTTCTTTTTTTCTTTTTTTGTGTAATATATGTGAGGTAATACATATGTGCGTGACTATTTTGGATTCATCTTCAGGTCGAGAATGATAGATCTGTCCCGGAAATAATCAGTGATGTGGCCAAGGGTCCCTTATCATTTGCCAAGTCATACCCAATAAACTTTGTAAACGAATACTGCTTCCACACAGTAAAACATGGTTCAAAGCGTACGATGTACAACAGTGGGGCATCTATTATAGGCGAATATGGCGAGTACTTTGGGGTATTAGAGGAGATACTTGAAATTGAGTATCCAGCTTTGCCACTCCCAACGTTGTGTCTTATTTAAATGTCGATGGTTCGATCCGAGGTTGAATCCCGGGACACGAATACACAAGAAGTATGGCTTAGTTGAGGTGCTTAAGAAGGGAGAGTTTAACCGATACGAGCCTTTTATTTTTGGGTCACAAGCAAACCAGGTTGTGTATGTGGAATAGCCTTACACGCAAAAGACTAAGAGTGATTGGATTGCAGTGTGCCAGGTTCACCCTAGAGGTAATTGGATTGACACAAAAAATACACTAAAATCAGTAGACAAGGCGCAACAAGAACCTTTTCGAGCAAATGGGACCGAGAGAAGCACAATCATGGAAGTGACACAAGACGAAGATATCATTACTCTATCACGTGAGGGAGATGCTAATTTCACCGACGATGATAATAACGCTGAAGAAGAGGATGTAGAAAAAATTTTAAGCTCCGATGACTCAATAGAAGAACAAGACTAAACAGAGAGCAAGGGAAATTAGAATGACGAGTAAATATGTTTCCAAATGTTTCTTATACTGTTAATGATTGATATATGTTTTTCTATATGAACTTTATTCTGTTTTATGAGCTAACTATACATTATTTTCGTTTCTGTACAGATGAGCGATAATGAGAACCCCCCTCCCCCCACGCCGATTGATTTTGAGGTGTTGGCACAATTGAGGAGGTCCATCATTGGTAGATGGAGACCCTCTTCTCGCCAGGGATCGAGCACAGCCACTACGTCCACATACACTCCCTCTATTATATTCAATATTCAACATTCGACAATATCCTTAAACTATTCTTAGTCTAAGGCCAATCACTTTAATATTTATCAACCCTTAAATGAATTCTAGTTTAAATAATTAAGCTATATTCCAGTATAAAGTACTTCTAAATAATCCTTAAGCTAGGCCTAGTTTAAGATAAAAGGGTTTTGAAAATCTTAAACTTACCTTCACTTAAGGCCAACCAGAAACCGACAGCGTAGTGTTCACTGTTGGGTGGGTGGTACTCCCAAACGAGTAGATACTCAAGTTGGTTCTTGGATCTCGTACGTACGTTTTAACCTTAGCCACCGGGGTTCATACCCGCGAGGCCTAACTTGAATGGTTATATCTTAGAGGTCTTTTAGATACCTTTCAAATCAACATTAATGCGGGTATATCTTAGAGGTCATTTAGATACCCTTAACAATACATATTATTTTCACAATTATCAATATATTCATTATGATTTAAGCATTCAAAATTATCATTTTTTTAATCATAATATTCATCAAGATTTAATCATCAATCATAAATCATTACCTTAATCATCAATCAACATAATATTCCATAATAATTAGCGGTCTAGCTTCGGGTGTTAACACCCTAACTTACCGTCATGCATCACATAACATTTTTTATTTGTTTAAAACATCACTTTTATTGTGAAAAATCATTTTTATAATGATCATAATCAATTGGTATCAAAAATAGGATTTTAGAGCTCAAAAATAGTATTTTCGGACAAATTTTCGGATCAGATTTTCAGGGGCTGTAAAAGAAAAGCTCCAGGTGATCGATCCAATGGATATGATTGATCCACCCTTGTGTTTTTCAGCTACTGTTCATCTTCTTCAACCTTCGGTCCATTTATCGGAAATGCCATTTTTAGTCACCGAACTTCAATTAAACTATATAGAGATGTTCTCCAAGGTTCATAGATCACTTTAGAATCATTAAGTCATAATTTTAACATCAAATTCAAGGTTTAAGATTCTTAGTTCTTCAAATATGTCAAACACAACTCAACCAAACGACCGTTTATGAACGTAAAAACGATCTATACGAACATTCTAGTCAGTAGATATATCTCTGGGCTTACTTCGAAGGTAAATGAAGTTTTTGAAGATTTTCCGGCGAAACTTCCGGTGAGGATTGTGGCTATCTCCAGCGACTTCACTCCAAACTAACAACACCACTGTATTCTCCACACTCAAGGCTATCTTTCAAAACAAATTTGAAGATGAATGGAAAAGAATTGGTGAAGTTGGGTTCTTTATATAGGTAATGAATGGAGGAAGAGGCCAAGGTGATGATGTATACGTTCCTGTTTCGACGTCTCAGTGGAGGGGGCTGCGGCTCCTACAGATTTTATACGTAAGTCCCTGATTGGGACTAAATTGGTCCTAGTCGGGGAACACTTTTTGGTCCAACTTTCTCCGAATTGAAATCCGTTTGTACTGTTGCGATCGGATAGTTAAACTCTATCCAACGATATAATTTTCATAATTATTTGTAATACTTTTTCCGATATCATATTTTTGGGTGTTTGACTTTGACATAGTCAAAATTGATTTTATTGACCTTTATCATAAAAGGTTCTCACATTTAATTCAGATAACTTATTTTCATGATTTATTTCAATAAATCGTTTCAAAGTTCATATCATAAACAAATTTCTTCATTTATCAGAGAATTTAAGGGTAGAAACTATCAATTTTACGAATAAAGGACCATAAGCCTCCCCGAGCTAATGTCATATTAAGAGATTTGGCCTAATGTTAAAAGCAGCAAACTCTTTAAAACGTACTCCCTATATCGGCATCATCCTCCAATATGAAGGGTCCTACGGATTGGGGTTCATTTTTCCTGTGGTTATGCCAATTTTCTTAGTTTCTCCTAGCATTAAAATGTCAGGTTGATCTAGGGGTGTAAACGAACCGAATCGAAGCGAATACCGATATATTTGAATTTGTATTTGTTTAATTTTTTCGAATACGATTCCGAATCCGAATATGAGACGAATTCAAAATAAGATTTGAATAAGTATTTTAAATACACTTTATACTATATTACTTTGTTTGACTTTTGAATATTCGAATATCATCCGAATCGAATATATCCCTATTTGTATTTGTATTTGTATTTGATTAATATTGGAATAAAAAATAATATTTGAATTTAAATTTGTATTTGAATAACGCGAATTCGAATCATCATTTTCGAATACAAATCGCGAATCGAATTTAAAATATTTAATTTGTTTACATCCCTAAGTTGATCTACCGATTTCCATAGAGTATAAACATCCAAGTTAACATCTCTTGATGAATCTGACAATTTGCGAACGTTGACAAGTCAACCATCTCTCCCCAACTCCCATCATCTTATGTTTAGAATTCTAATATGAAAATCATATAGAAAGTCAATTGGAACATTACATTTGCATTTGCTGGTTGGATCCTCAAAATCCCGCAAAAAGTACCCCATCGTTACATTTTTAAAGACAATTTATCTTTTTGTGACAAAGTGAAGATATGATACCTTTTTGTTACAACCACCAAAGATGGGACACGTTCCAAGTAAAAAAAGGCAATAATATATATAAATCTACATCAATACTTCTACAAAACAAATATCACAATAATATTAATTTAATTTATAAACTGATCAATAAAAACATGTAAATAAACAAAAGTTATTGAGAGACTAGAACAATAACTATGACGATAATTCAGGGACGGATGAAGTATATCATTATAAATTGGGTTAAGTCATATTGACATTCAATTTTTAGTTTCATATTATGACATCGGCCAAATTAAAGTTCCTATGTATTTTGTTATGGAATAAATTAGAGACAAGTAACAGTAAAACATAGAAATTTTTTTAAAAAATCATGTTGACCCCTTAAAAAAATCAATATTGTCCAATTCCCGTTGTAGTGCCACAATGTTCACTATATACATTGTTAACACATGTTTTGCTTTTTTTACTATTAGAATCAGATTAGACCAATTATTCAAATCAGATCACACCTTTTCATATTAGATCATATTCATTCTAATCATATCACATCTAATTGGACACGACCAAACAAATATTAAAAATAATGTTAACATTTTATTTAGGATTTACATAATAGTTACTATACGACTACATCATGTTACATTATTTAATGTTACATTAACTGTATGTAAAAGAGTGAAAATAATAATAATTATAATAATGTTATATACGATTAAATACTAATAATAATAATGTTACATTTGATTAAGTAATACTCCCTCCGTTTGGAAAAATCCTTCCCATTTGATTTGGGAGCAAAAATAAGGAAGTGTTAAATTATAGTTGATTTCCAATTTTGCCCCTGATGTGATGGGTAAATGTAAGATGTGATAGGTAGGGTATGAAAAAATAAGGGTAAAAGTGGTTTTTAATAGAAAGAGGAAGTGTTTTGTTGGAAGTGAAAAAAATGAAAGAGGAAGTGTTTTTGAGAACGGAAGGAGTACTAACTATTATTGTTATACGATTGATAATTGGGTCATTAATATTTTAGGCAGCAAACAAAATAAGAGTATGTTGCAATGCACAAGGTTGTGCTTCAAAAAATGCTAACAGAACCTTTACCTTTTGAGTTTTGACACCATTTTTTACGGATTTAATTTGCACAAACTACAATTGATTTAGAGACACACAAACAATTACGGAGTATTGTATGGTTCACATTTGTCTAGTTTTGATTTTTTTTCAATCAATCATTTTCAATATTTGATATATAGTTAAATAAAGTATATTGTATATTAATTAGATAGAATAAAATTTTGAAAATGTTTTATAAAATAAATCTATTAAAGTTAATTTTGTATCAACATCTAATATCATTTTTATTTAATTCTAAATTAAAGTTTATCAATTTTGATTGATAAAAAAACAAAAGTAGACAAATTCGGAAAACACAAAGAGTATGCCGGGAAATATGATGTCAAAATAGTGTTTAAAGGTTGGGATTAGGGGAAGACAAAAAAAGCCACTACCAGTGACAACGATATGAGAGTTACCTAAACCACAAAGCTTTCCCGTGAACCCGCAACTATAATTACTCCATTGTTTTTGTAAATTGCTCTCTTCCTACTAAAATACAGCGGATTTTTTGTGATTTAATCTTTTGGAATTTTTAAAAACTATAAAAAATGTAAAAAAGACTAAAAAAAGAGTAAAATATTGAGGTCAAATTAAAGCAAAATAAAATTTTCAAATTTTTATCCCTAAAATATGATTTATAATGTTAATAATATCAACATATAGTACAAGTTAGTTAATGGTAAGAAATTTCAATGTACAATGTTATATTGGGCCTGTTTGGGAATAACGTTAGAGATTAGCGTTAGCGTTTTGGGTAAAATTTTAACGGTGCAGATTAATTTGAAAACGCTAACGCTAAACGCTGCACGTAGATAGCCTTTTGAAAACGTTAACGCTAATCTCTAACGCTATTCCCAAACAGGCCCATTATCAAAGTGTAATAGTCTTATATTGGGGTAATCTATGTCATTCTTATTTTGAAGATAATGATTATTTTTGAGAAAAATGCACCGTTTACCACCGAACTTTTTGGAAATTGAATTTAGAAAAAAATATTATTGTGAATAACATATGCATTCTATAATGAAAAAAGAAGAAAATATTGATTTGATTTTAAATAAAGGAGAAAATATAAGAGTTCAAATTTTTTCTCTGTAGTCATAAATATTACCCATATTTTATTCTCCATGTCACTGTGTAAGTGCACGTACGGTGTGTAGCACATATCACCAACATTATAATCTTCAATTCAGCTAATATAATTAGTTTTATTAATTGATAAGTGGAT